TTTTTTTTTTTTCTGGGAAAGAGGATATTGTGCATAAAGAAAATTTTCACCGAGAGAGAGAAAAATGTTGGATTTTTTTGGGGAAGGGGTGTTGTTGGGTTTTTTTTTTTTTTGGGGGGGGTGGAGGGGGAAGGGGTTGTTGTGCATAAAGAAAAAATTGAGAGAAAAAAGAGGGGGAGATGTTGTGTGTATTGGGCTTATCATGTGTGTTGCCGATGTTAAGGGAAATGGAACAAAAAAAAAGTGAGGAAGAAGAAGAATGATGTTTAGGTTAATGTCTAGTGTTGTTCATAAGTGTAATAAAAAACGTTTGACCATAGAGATTGTTGGATAACGACAAAATTACCCTTAACTGTAGTCATGTGCATAGCACATGATGATTTTCCGTTATTGATTTAGACGGCAGTTAGGGCAAGGAACTGCATTGGTTTAATATATGAACTTCAGGGATGAAATTGACGAAATTAGAATTTTAGGGACAAAAGTGCAATAAGTGGCAAATCTTAGGGATTAATTGTGTAATTTACCCTTCTTTTTTTTTTTTTTTATGATGGAAACCAGATTAATTTACGTACATCTTGACTTATTTTCATTTTTAAGGAGATCAAAATGAATCAGTGATGAAATCAAAATTCTAATACCTCAAGATATTCCACAATATTTCAAAATATCTATATAATTAAATACAAAGAGTTTCAAATCCTAAAATTATAAAATCGTTCGAACACCTCAGATAATTTCAAAATTATTAATCCGATGATTTTAATTGATTCCCATTTTTTTTTCCTGTCCAAAAATTGGACTAAGTGTTTCGTTCCATTTTCAACACTAGGGTCTCATTTCTCTTCTACCTCTCTTAGTTTTATTGAATTTTTATATCTATAATAATAAGATAAAAGTGTTTTGAATCTCAAAGTTGGGAATGCACAATCTAACGGTAGGAAAGATTTCTTATTTCTCCATTTTCCCTCCTAGATTGTCTCAATTACGAGAAAAAATTTGTAATGGTGACAACATGTCATCACCGTTACGCGGTGTCATCGTTTAATTAGAAGATAACAAATAGATAAAATAGATCCCTTTAATTGGAGATATTTTTTAGTTATAGAGTAATTAGTTTTATTTCGGGATTAATTGTGCCACCTTCATGCATTTGTCACTTAGATTTCATGTTTGGGCAAATTCAAGAACTTTAAGATAGGTGATTTAAGTTTTAACGTCCTCGCTTGAGGTGGGTTAAGTGTTTCTACGCTTAAATTTTTGCGGATGGTGTCTAAATTTGCTTGCTTTGGATTTTAAAGTTGGTTTTTAATTAATTTATGATAATTGATGGCTACATCACATATATTATTTGTGAGTTTTATCATTTTTCTTAATTGGATTCTTCCTTTTTGAAAGGTGTTTTGGATCATGAGTGATTGGCATATGGTAGTTGGGAGCGGAGATGTATTCACCACATGTTCGGAATTCTTCACGCATTCAATCGGACTATAATGACCAAGGGAAAAAGTTACTGTACTAATTTTTTTAAATGGATAGTTTGTTTAAGATTTCGAAGTGTTTTAGATAATGTAATATTTTTTGAGTTTTAATTTAATTATTTCTTATTTAAATATGAACAATTACTAGTTTTGTTATATTTTAATATATTTGTATAATTATTTTAAAATATTTTAACTAATAATTTTAAAAAATAATTTTTAAATTTTTTATTTTTTTCATTATTTTTTGAAAATGAATCGTAACGTTTTTAAAAATATGGAAACATATTTATCGGTGCCGAAAGAACGTACCAAAATAAAATTTTGATTGTTAGTCCGTTGTGCACTGATACAATTGGTTTTGCTTCATTGTTTCAGTATCTTCGGCCGTTGTGTTCTCACTTTGAGAGCTTCCCGGACACTCAAGTCTCAAATATGCTCAGAATACACTGCTACTTTCTCAATAAAACATGTCTGAGGCGGCTGATTTTCTGCAGAATGTACAGTTCAAATTCAACGCAGAAAGACTCATCCGACCCAACAAAAAGAATCTGCAAAATCATCATGTCTTGCCCCAAACTAGGCCTCGACACTGCTCTCGACCAAAGTGGCATTAGGGTCTCTACAGATGTAGTCGAAGAAGTCCTCAAGAGATTCGAGAACGCCGGCATACTGGCCTACCGGTTCTTCGAGTGGGCCGGGAAGCAACGGCATTACCAGCACAGCGTCAAGGCTTATCACACCGCCATCGAGTCTCTGGCCAAGATAAGGCAGTACCAGATCATGTGGGATCTTGTAAACTCCATGAGGGGAGAGAGAATGCTGAATATAGAGACGTTTTGTATAATTATGAGGAAGTATGCTCGGGCCCAGAAGGTGGAGGAGGCGATTTACACGTTCAATGTCATGGAGAAGTACGACGTCACTCCAAATTTGGCTGCTTTTAATGGGTTATTGAGTGCTTTGTGTAAGTCGAAGAATGTGAGGAAGGCACAGGAGGTGTTTGATAAAATGACGGACCGGTTTGTTCCCGATTCGAAAACTTATAGCATACTGATTGAAGGGTGGGGGAGGGAACCCAATTTGCCCAAAGCAAGGGAAATTTTTAGAGAAATGGTGGAAGTAGGTTGCAGCCCTGATATAGTCACATATGGGATCATGGTTGATGTCCTTTGCAAAGTAGGGAGGGTTGATGAGGCTATTGCAATTGTTAAGGAAATGGAGTCTTGTGGGTGCAGACCGACATCGTTTATTTATACTGTCTTGATTCATACTTATGGTATCGATAATAGGATTGAAGATGCTGTGGATACATTTCTTCAAATGGAAAGGAAAGGAGTTACAGCTGATGTGGCTGTCTATAATGCCATGATCAGTGCTTTTTGTAAAGTGAATAAATCTAAAAATGCGTATAGAGTTATAAATGAGATGGAGTCGAAGGGGATGAAGCCAAATTCGAGGACTTGCAATATTGTTCTAAATAGCTTGATAGGTCGTGGAGAGACAGATGAAGCGTTTAATGTGTTCTGCAAGATGGTGAAGCTATGTGAGCCAGATGCAGACACATATACTATGATGATAAAGATGTTCTGTGAGAGGGATGAGCTTGAAATGGCTCTGAAAGTGTGGAAGTATATGAAACGAAAGCAATTTGTTCCAAGCATGCATACTTTTTCTGCTCTCATTAACGGGTTGTGTGGTAAGGCAGATGCTCCTAAGGCTTGTGTTTTAATGGAAGAGATGATAGAGAGAGGTATTCGGCCACCAAGGGTGACATTTGGAAGACTACGACAATTGCTTATTAAGGAAGGAAGAGAAGATGTTCTTGAATTTCTTCATGAGAAAATGAATCTTTTGGTCAAGGACCCTTTGTGTGACTGAAAAAATGTGCCTGACAAGTTAATTGAAAAGTAATCAAGGCTCTTGATCGTGTGGTTCAAGCAATCAGCATATGGCATTGGGAGTTGGAATTACTATTACTGCTGGGGAAAGACCTCGCTTCTCAGGTCAGTTTTCTTCTTTTATATGCCTCATTCTAGATTCCATTGAATATTGATATTTCAATGCATTGTCATCATGTATTTTTCCATGTTACGTGCTTTATTGTTTCTTGTAAGTTGTAAATGAGAAGTAATTTATTTTCAGCTTGAAGAATTATGTTGAAGAAACTCTTTTGTTGTACACCCAAGGATATATGTGGCTGGAAAAATCATCTATATTGACAGCAGTTGTTTCTCTACATAAGATGGAAGGAAATGTTAGTTCTCTAAAAGAGGATGACACTTGGGACAAGATATCATTAAACATAAGGAAATGGGAAGTATTGTTTGAGACAATAAGAAAGTAAAACATTATCAAAGATAGAAAGGGGAAAACAGTATGGACTGCAGCATTTTAATGTGCTCCCAGACGTCCAGCCCACATTGGATATCTGTTATCAGAGGAAAGATCAGATGTATTCATTACTCTCGAGCTTAACTGATTAATTATAAAAAATATTGTGACTATATGCTGTTTAATACTACTCAGTTTTATGAGTTTGATTTGCTTTTGCAGGTTCAAAGGATGAACATCACACAATGGAAGGAAAAATTTCAGAGAATAGGTGATCTGGTGAATGGAGCTCGACTTTTGAAGCTTTAGAGAGTGCAATGATGCTGCTGATATTGTGATTCAGTATTCTTTAATTGCAAAGTCGTATCAGGCACTCCTTTCAAATTCAAATGACCCTTCTTTCCCTTTAGACAAATCTCCTGTGGAAATAACTGAGCTCTTGTCCCTTAATTGCCTAGTTGCCATGTTTTACTGTTTCAACATTTTGCCATGGCCATGGATAGGCTTCCAAGTTTTCTCGGATCCAATTTTTGGAGGCTGCCTTATCTCCCTAAAATTTCTATGGCTTAACCATCTTCCCAATATCCTAAAAGAATGCTTGAACCGAGGGAGCAGATGCACGATAGCGGCATGATGATCTCCTCCATCCTGTGATTTATTGCTGCATTGACAGAAAGGCAAAGGATTACCACAGCTTGCTAGAGATATGAAAATGGAGCAATGGTGGGAGACTTTGACTGATGCTCTGTTGAGATCCAGCTGATGATGCTTCAGGTAAGAGCTGCATGATGGTGGACACTTGACGTGGGTTGGGAAATTATTCTGGCATTCTGCTCAATATTTTTGGACCAAATGCAAATATTGCAAAATTTACCTATTTAGTTTTTGTTTAAATTCATGGTCAACTGACATAACAAAATTATAACTAATATCCTCAAATTTTCTTGATTAACACTACAATTTTCAAATTGTACCTTAACACAATATTAACTGGATAAGAAATTAACGGGTTAAGATTGATTGTGTTTCAAGATAACCTAAGAATGATATACATCACTAGCACAAATAAGTATATGTATTAATGTCAAACATATAAATAACTCGATTTCGACATGATGAATACATTTAGTTGGTATTATCTAAAAAGGAATAGTGATGCCATTTATTTATTTATTTTTTTCCCCTCTAGTATTGTGTGAAATAGAGATTTTTTTTTACTTGATCTTATAAGCATCTAGACTAAGTAGACTTTGATGAAAAAAAAAAAAAATTTCTTATGGAAAAGCTTATGTGCAGGGAGTGTGGTTGAGAGAGTATAGTCTTAAACATGGATTTGTGGCTTATGGGTGGTTATACATGTCAATTGAACATAAATCAATTATTATTATTAAATGAATTAAGTTAATATTAATTTTTTTGATATTACTAATTAAATATATTAAATAAAAATTATTTAATAATCGAAGATGAAGAGGGACACTCAATGTTGAACAAATATAAATTAGTTGGGTCATGTCTTTTAATTTTTTTTGGGGATAAAAAAAGAAATTTATTGCATTAGTATTTGTTCCTTTCTTTGCAACCAAAAACCATTTCAAGGCAACCGGCAAAGAAAGTAGAGTTAACTTAATATGACCCCAAATTAAGTCATTTATGTCAATTAAAGTTTTAAATTAATTTTTGTATTAATTTAATTTCGCAATTATACAATCTGATTCTGACTTTATTGTTTAAATTCACTATTAATTTTAACGAAAAATCTTATATACACATCAAATGTATAATTTATAATTATTCCGATTTGTGATTTAATGTGATGTGTGTATAAGAAATTTATTTTAAGATTAAGGGATTAAATTTTCGTCATTGCGGGGTTTAAAGAAGATTAAATATATACAATTTTACGCTGGCACATATGGAGATTGTTTTCATAACCACCGATACTAAATTAGTTCATAGGACTAATTGACACAATGACCCCATATGCGTAGTTAGCAAAGTACACAGCGCCAAAGTAACGAACACGCCATGGAGTTGCCGGAGTGCCCGGTGTGCCTGCAGTCCTACGAGGCCGTTTCCACCATCCCTCGTGTACTCGCCTGTGGCCACTCGGCCTGCGAGACCTGTCTCACGCAGCTCCCGAAGGCCTCCCCTCACACCATTCGCTGCCCAGCATGTACCCAACTCGTCAAGTACCCACACCCACAAGGGNTTTCATAATCCAAATTCTTCGCCTCTCCTCTCTCCTCCAAAACCCAAATTCTAGAATCCCCGAAAATCAACCCACAAAGAATTGGCTCAAAAAGTTGAAGAATTTATGCCCAATCTGTGGTCTTATGAGTTCTATTTGAATTGGAAGGAGTGGATTGTTCCAAGAGACGCGGTTTTGGTTGAATCGAATGTTGAAAACAATGGGTTTTTTTCTGTTTTGTCTGGAAGGATTGTGCAGTGTGATGGTTTAATAGGATGTTCGATGAGTTGCTTGTTGAAAGAGAATCAACTGGTGAGCCTGGTTAGAGTTGGTTCGTACTTGGGTGGAAATGAATCAAAGTTCCGTTATAGTTATGTTGCAAAAATTATGAGTGTTTTATATGGAATGAGGGATGGCGAAAGAAGTGAATTGGGTTTGCTTATGGGTTCCAGTTTGAAGCAGTGTCGAATGTGTAGGGTTTTTGGGTTGTGGTATAATACGGAGGATTGGTCTTTATATGTAGTGTCTGAGAGGTATGGTGGCAAGCATTTGAATGATTTGGAAAATGGCTCGCTTGGTAGAGATGAGGAGAAAATGAATTTGGCTGTCAAAGATGACATGCCTACCTTTGCAATTATCGGTATGGAGCTATGTGAGGCAGCTAGTGATTTGCATTCACAAGGATTAATTTTGGGTAGTTTATCTCTCCCCTGTTTCAATGTTGATCATTTTGGTCGTCTTTATATGGATTTGAATGAAGTCATGGTATTGGGTAGGAGAGTTAGTAAAATGATTGCGGAGGTGGTTCGTATGAAATTAAAATCTGATGACAAAGAATTAGATGTGTTGCTGAAAATGGATGCATTGAAAATAGACGCATTTGTCAGTCCAGAAATGTTGTTAGAGTTCTTACAGAAAGAGAGTGTTGAACTGGCTTCTGGTTGCTTGAGATATGCAGTCGGGTATGGTTCAGATGTTTGGTCATTAGCTTGTTTACTCATTTGCCTTCTTATCAGAAGGCCGTTTACTGAAGAGATGCAGCATTATTATGGTCTTTTCCCTTCACTGATTGAGGAAGAGGGTTCTGATTATATGGGTTTGTACACAGGTTGGATGGAAAAAGTTATTGGTTTGTTGGAACATAGATTGGGTTCGGAGTTTCTGTCATTAAAAGATATTCTATGCAAGTGTTTGAGTTATGACCCAGGAAGTAGACCAGTTGCAACTGAGCTATGGAAATGCATTAGACAGTTAGTTATTAAACCCGAGTGTGACATGATGGTTGGTTTGGAGCACAAGGTGAATGAGGAGAACTCAAGTCATTGCTTGGTTCTTGGGGAACTCTGTCAGTTACATCTTGAAACTTACAAAGGATCAAAAAGAGGAATTATAGATGGCTTTCAGCCTAAAGATGACAATGATAAAGCAGATGTGGATCAAGTTGCAGAAGGGAGGGTTGACAAAGATGTTGTTGAGGGCTTATCTGGGAGTCATGTAAAAAGTATTGATCTGAAGGGTCATATTGATTGTATCACCGGATTAGCTGTTGGAGGTATAGATTTTAATAGTGCAATCTTGATTAAGGGCCTTTATATTTTTTGATATTCTCTACTAGCTCTTCAGTTACTTTAGGTGTTGAACAGCCAAGTATCCTTTGATTGCATTGCTCCAAAATTTTATTTGTGGCATTTGTGTGTGCCATCTCTATGTTGCCAAGTAGCAGTTCCATTCTGGTAGAAAAAGGGGACGTTCTAGCACTCAAACGATAGAAATGCCTACAATCTTGGAGGATTGGGAATTGACAAACACAGCATCTCTGAAGATGGTGACTGTATATCTTGTAATGTATTGCCATGCTGATGCAATTTTAAAGAATATGACGAACATGGTTTTTTAACAAGCAAGCTGTAATATTTTCATGTCTAGTTTTTCTTCATATTCATATATTTGCAAATTGTTTGTCTCTTAGGTTGTTTTAGGGTTATGGATGGATGATTCATATCATCTTAGTCGTATGCAAGAAAAAACAAGATCTATTCTTTGAATCTTCTCACTTGTTTCATTTTTTTTTGGAACAATTTCATGTCTGTTACTACTGCTAGTTTTTGTAGTTGTGATGTTATTTAGAAATCTTTGTCCTTGGAAGAGAAATTCAATGATTAATATGATGCCTGTGTACTTTTGAATCATCACTTTGTTGGTTTCTTGTTCATTAAAGATCTTGCAATTTGAATATCTTGTTTTTCTGTTGTAGGGGATTTTTTGTTCAGCTCCTCGTTTGATAAAACAATCTGTGTATGGTCTCTGCAGGTACACACCCTAAATGGATATATGGTGGTTCTCAAAAATATTTGTCTGACTCATACAAAATCATATGGTTTATGTTGACACCTCCTGATTATTAGGTTATACTTTAGCTTTCAGAAGCTTTAAGAGATAGAAGTGTGTTATGGTATAGAGCCACAGTCAAGGATGTGCTGTAGCTATATATTTATTTATAAATTTATATTGTACAAATATTCAACATTATATGTAACAACTGTATATATGATGCATTTTTCACTACAGAACAATGCTCCTGTTTTAGGTCCAGATCTAAATCCTTATCAAGAAATTGATTCCTTTAACTGAACTGACATGCAATGGCATGTACGAAATTGCTTATCATGATAAACTGATAATTATTGGCCACTATTCATTACTGTGACTTATACAAACTAGCTTATATGTAGTAGATCTACAAGTAAGATAGTGTCTACCTGCTATCTGAATGGTCAAATGTATGTTGATAGATCTGTTTTCAGAATTTTCACCAGCTCATGGAGAATCTCCGTAGGTGTTGAAAGAATTGTATGTACAATTATTGCTAAGGATAAGTTGATGTAACCTGTACCAGGGTCGTTTAAAATAAGAAACGGGAATGCTAAACAAGATGGAATGGGGAAAAGAGAAGGAAAAGAAGAAGAACTAGGGAGGGTGCAAAAAATGTACTCTGAGCCTTTTAATGATCAGAGAAAGATAGAAAGACTTACAATAAAGAAGAAAAGAATCTTTTAAAAAAGTCAGATTAATAAAGCAGAAAGGAACTGAAAGAGGGAATGACATAAGATCTCCTTACTCTTATGCTCGATTGTAGTTTTTGTTTATTATTCTTTTTACTGATGTTTCCCACATCCCCTTGCAGGATTTTACTCCTGTGCATTCATTTAAGGGTCACGAGCATAGAGTCATGGCTGTGGTTTTTGTGGATGAAGAACAATCGTTGTGTATAAGCGGTGATAATGGAGGTGGCATTTGCATCTGGGGCGCTAGCATTCCATTTGTTCAAGAACCAATGAAAACATTGTACGAGCAAAAGGATTGGCGCTATAGTGGTATTCATGCCCTTGCCGCTTCTGGAGCTGGGTATTTCTATTCTGGAAGTGGAGATAAGACAATAAAGGCATGGTCATTGCAGGTAGTGTCTTCTTCTTATTTATGAATTCTCTAGAGTTATACCAATATATTTTGTGCACAATAATAAAGTTCTATGATCTGTTTTCCCTTTCTTCAGGATTACACTCTGTCATGTACTATGAGTGGTCATAAATCAGTTGTGTCTGCACTGACAGTTTGTAACGGGGTTCTTTATAGCGGAAGTTGGGATGGAACTATCAGACTATGGTGTCTTAGTGATCATAGTCCTTTGACAGTATTTGGGGAAGACACGCCTGGAAATGTGACCTCTGTTCTATCTCTTGCTGCTGACCAGCGTTTCCTTATTGTGACTCATGAGAATGGGTGCATAAAGGTCCTACACTTTTAAACCTTAGTTTTGCTAGGTTATGTTTGTTAATATTTTTATGGGCATCTTAACACTGCATGGAAATATAATTACATGATTTCTAGTTGTCCCTGGATATTAGCCATCAACTTATTCATGTATTGTAATCACCAGAGTTTTCTTCTGAAGAAATGATAGGATTGGAACATTGACATATGCAATCTTAACGTATGTGTATGTTGCCTTGTAAGTCACCATGNATATAATTACATGATTTCTAGTTGTCCCTGGATATTAGCCATCAACTTATTCATGTATTGTAATCACCAAAGTTTTCTTCTGAAGAAATGATAGGATTGGAACATTGACATATGCAATCTTAACGTATGTGTATGTTGCCTTGTAAGTCACCATGTCACATTTTTTATTGTGGGTTTGCACTTCCAAAAGCTGTAAACTAGCTGATTCTAGTAGTGGATCAGCAATCTGCCGGTGTACTTTATGTTATAGGACACAATTATGGAATTTATTACCAAAACACAGTTGTTTTGGACCTTTAATACCAAAATATGACACTTTGGAACTTATTTACCAAATTACGGCACTTTTTAAAAGCGGATTCAATAATTCTGCATTTNGTGGAATTTATTACCAAAACACAGTTGTTTTGGACCTTTAATACCAAAATATGACACTTTTGAACTTATTTACCAAATTACGGCACTTTTTAAAAGCGGATTCAATAATTCTGCATTTATTAAAAAACAGATTAAACAACTCTGCTTTTGTTGAAAAGCGGATTCAACAAACCCGATTTTATTGAAAAAAAATATTTTGGGCAATGAGAAAAGTGTGTTTTGTAAACACGCTTTTTACGTTTTTTTTTGTGAAACCCGTGTTTATTAATCACGCTTTTCATACTGACATATTTACATGTGAACACAACCAGGCATATAATCACAAATGTACAAACAATCCCCTTTAAATTGACTCCCGAGCAACTTATTACCCTGTTCACGGTTTAAACTCCAAACCCCAGATGCCAAATGAGACCTCAGTGATCTACAAATCTTTCTTCTCTTAGAAACAGCAAAATCACAAGCTGAAGCCGGTTCACAACATCCTTAACATAGGATTCAAGCATGACATAGGAAACCATCACAAAGAACATAGATTTCTTTTCTAGTGGATCTAGAAGACTCAGACCCATTATTGCATTTCAATGGATTCAAACAAAAAATTTGCATTTTGAAAAGCCCATAAACGATGAAGCTGGTGAGTTCCAATCAAAGATCGATCAAGAGGAACTAGAAACTCACTGCCATTATTAGTCTTCAAGAAAAGCCTTGAACAAAACCCAAAAGTGCCACAGGGAAGAGCTTTCACTGGATTCAAGATTTTCCTTCCCAAATCAAATGTACAGTGCCAACAAAGACCCAACAGAGAGAGAGAGTAGAGAGAAGCCAGGTTCTGCACACCAGTTGAAACACTTTAAAAGCGTGGTTAGTAACCACGCTTTTAACGTGTTTCAACTCATTATTTTGGACCACGTTTTTTATTTAAAAGCGGGATCATTGATCCCGTTTTTTAACAAAAGCGNACGTGGTTAGTAACCACGCTTTTAACGTGTTTCAGCTCATTATTGTGGACCACGTTTTTTATTTAAAAGCGGGATCATTGATCCCGTTTTTTAACAAAAGCGGAGTTGTTGAATCCGCTTTTTAATAAAAACGGAATTATTGACTCCGCTTTTAAAAAGTGTCGTAGTTTGATAAATAAGTTCAAAAGTGCCGTATTTTGGAATTAAAGTTTAAAAATAACTGTGTTTTTGGTAATAGATTCCACAATTGTGTTGGTTTAATAATTATGTTTGAAAAGTAGTAAATATTTGTTCTCTTTGTTGCTCTTGTTTCAGATTTGGAGCAATGATGTCTTTCTAAAATCCACACAAGTTCACAATGGTGCTATATTTACTGTTGGCATGGAGGGGAAATGGCTTTTTACAGGGGGTTGGGACAAGATTGTTAATGTACAGGTACATGTAGAGAGCGTATGATATTGGTATAGATTCCATCAACATCATTTTAATGGCCTGAGGCTCTGAATTAGGAATGGCTACTTAAAAACATATTCAAAAGTCCTCTACTGTACTTTCTAGTTTGATACTGTATCCTATAGAATTTTATTGTGATTTTTAATAAAATAATGTTAATACTATCTTGGCGGGCTTAGCAAGTTGTCTACCGATTTGTAGGAGCTATCAGGAGACGAGTTTCGAATGGATGCCATACCAATCGGATCTATTGCTTGCGATTCTGTCATAACATCTCTGTTATACAGGCAAGGAAAGCTTTTTGTTGGACAAGCTGATCGAATCATCAAGGTATGGTCTTTTTGTTTATTCTTCCTGAGACGATCACTATAAGCTTTCTTTGATTCTCCTGATGCAATGCTGTGCCACGTCATGTCTGTGCTATGAAGATGAACCATTTTGCAGTATGTTGATGCCGTTAAGTTCCATATTCTCCAAAGCAGGCATTAATTCTATCTGAAAATTTCATGCTTCATATAGACATATTAGTTCATGGTAATTTTGTTCTAGAAGTTAATTAGAAGCTCAATGAAAAGCAAATTAAAAGGAAGGAATCATGAAATCAAATGGATTTCAGAGTAGGGCCACTTGGGTCCTCAAGTAGCCGATTTTTTAGTTAACTAGAGTGCTACTTAATGGGTATTTCTAGGTTAGATAGAATTTTGTAGGTCAGTTCTGTGCATGAACATTAAAGAATTTGGACAATGAAAGTAACACACATGCTTCAGGAAATTGTGAGTAATTTGGTTAACTTCCATTTTTTCTGAATGTGGACTGTAGTACGGACCCTTTGGCTTCCTTTTGTTATTAGTTGATAATCTTAAGCTTCTGATTTTTATATCAAACCTAAACAGGGTGGGATTAGTCCCATCATTGAAGAAATTTATAAACTTGGGGTTTCTATACAATTTTTTATATTTACTGAGAAAATAATTCACCATAACAAAAAATTCTCTCTCATGAAAAGTAGTTCTCTCCTTTTTGTACTTCATTTTTAATATAATTATATTTTCATTCAACTTGGAAAAAACAAAGGGAAATGAGGTTCAGTCATTCAAACAAATAAATACCATATTTGCCTTGTCCATAAACTAGGNTATTATATTTTCATTCAACTTGGAAAAAACAAAGGGAAATATGAGGTTCAGTCATTCAAACAAATAAATACCATATTTGCCTTGTCCATAAACTAGGTGTCATTCGTAACTTTTATAAGATTGAACCACCAACCTTCAAATTTTTGCAGAGTATGGGGCACAACTGTAATATAAATATTCAAAACATTTTCAAAATTTTGAATAAGCCCCACCATTTTTGGGGCCTTATTGGAATGGATGGCATAATGCAGGGATGCCATTTCCATCCAAGTGTTGAAGCATAAATTCAAGCTAATATTGTTTTGAGTTCTAAACATGACTANTGGGGCACAACTGTAATATAAATATTCAAAACATTTTCAAAATTTTGAATAAGCCCCACCATTTTTGGGGCTTTATTGGAATGGATGGCATAATGCAGGGATGCCATTTCCTTCCAAGTGTTGAAGCATAAATTCAAGCTAATATTGTTTTGAGTTCTAAACATGACTATTATATGCAATTTATTGCAAGTGTTTAAATGCTTTGAAATTTTTTGTCTTGGTGAAACAAGATTCTGTAACATTTCCTGAAAGCTTTGAAGTTTCTCTTTGTTCTATGTTTGCCAATGGCATCTGGGTGTCATGTCAACTTAGGGTTCTTCCATTTTGGTTTCCATAGCACCGGAAGCTGGAAGTTTTTTTTTTTTTAAATGCAATATTTGGTGCATGGCATGCCAAAGATCATCTAAAAGAAAAGCAATAAAGTCATCAACAATAGTGGTCCTAAAGATGAGGCAATAGAATACCTTTGGTATTCAGTTTATCTTACATTATGCTTCGTAAAGGACTTGCGACCTTTCTGTGAAGGAGCATAATAAGTTAATCATGTGCTGGAATTTTCACTTAGTATTGTGAAAGTCAATTACAAGCATGCAAACTTCGTATTTTTATATTGCAATGAGATTTTGCCAGGTATTCTATTACGGCGTGTGATTGAAGTCTCTGTTGGAGGTGGTTTTGATGACATTATGGAGTGTGATTGAAGTCTCACTCTGAGGATCTTCTGGATTATCATCTGCACTCATTTAGAGACCGAGTGGATGGATTTAGGCAGAGTGCCATTAACTTATGTTGTTGAATGTCCCCGAAGTGACCTGCAAACGGATTTTGATAAACAAGACAGGTCTGCATACGTGTTGTAAATTAGATCATGTACCATGGAAATTGTTTCTATCAGTGTAAAGTGACTATTAACAGAGAAGTATATAATGGAGAAGTATTTTTGTATAGCAAGCCTTTGTAAAGATACTGTGGTTGAGCCTTTGTAAAGGCGGTAAAATTGTCACGACATGAAAATCAAGGGTTTGAGGCCAAAACAATCTATCCGCCCGTGGGGGTACGACTCACTAGAGCTAACTCTTCTCAAATCCTCCGAGGTTGGGAGTCTTGTACGGTGGATTTTATAGCTTGCAGAAGATGTATGCTTTTTTCATCTCATTTATAATAGGATCTTATGTAATCTATATTTTTTTGGTCGAAAAAGATTTATAATCCTGTTGTTCTGTTGCTAAAATGATACCATGGAAACATGCAAGACAACTGAAGTTACACAGTTGCATACAGATGAGCTGAGCCAATAGGATGNAATTTTTTTGGTCGAAAAAGATTTATAATCCTGTTGTTCTGTTGCTAAAATGATACCATGGAAGCATGCAAGACAACTGAAGTTACACAGTTGCATACAGATGAGCTGAGCCAATAGGATGAATCAAACGAATTCTGCATCATAAACTTTGTTCCATGCACATCACTTAGACGGGTTCTGAAAAGTTGGGAGAAATGAGAAAATAGAATACACAAGAAAATACCAGAAATGAAAGGTTATCAGATTCTATTTATTCGTACTGTGTCAGAATTTCGAGCAATATTATATATTACACAAATTTTGTAGAGGATGAGCTGATATAAACGTTGATGCTCCATTTCTACTCCCCAATTTTTCCTCAAATTGTGAGTAGCATTTGCCTCGAAAACTTTTAACATCTGATAATAATAAGAAGAAGAAAATTATGGATTACTTCAGGATAGTACTATGATGAATTAGCTTACAATGAATAATTAAAAAGGTGGTATNTAGAAATGAAAGGCTATCAGATTCTATTTATTCGTACTGTGTCAGAATTTCGAGCAATATTATATATTACACAAATTTTGTAGAGGATGAGCTGATATAAACGTTGATGCTCCATTTCTACTCCCCAATTTTTCCTCAAATTGTGAGTAGCATTTGCCTCGAAAACTTTTNCAGAAATGAAAGGTTATCAGATTCTATTTATTCGTACTGTGTCAGAACTTCGAGCAATATTATATATTACACAAATTTTGTAGAGGATGAGCTGATATAAACGTTGATGCTCCATTTCTACTCCCCAATTTTTCCTCAAATTGTGAGTAGCGTTTGCCTCGAAAACTTTTAACATCTGATAATAATAAGAAGAAGAAACTTATGGATTACTTCAGGATAGTACTATGATGAATTAGCTTACAATGAATAATTAAAAAGGTGGTATCGACTCTGCAAAATTCATATCTATAACAAGATTTGGGAGGGATATATGGGGACAAACTCATTCCCATATTTGAACAAACTATATATCGTTTGGGCAAATGAGCATTTGTAATCGTTCCATGTCTGATCTCTAATTACCATGAATAAGTGACATGCTAAGAGCAATACTAGAAGTTTTCTTAGAACTTATCTTAGCTTTTAGATGAGATGAATCACATATTGTTCCATATCTCTATATTAATAAAACAGAGTGTGTTCTATTTAAGTTTCTAACTAAGAAAAACAAAACAACGGTTTAGTTCATTTATATCTAATGACTGATAAACATTTTAACACTCACTTATGTTTTAACCAAACTAAAAAATACACATTTGCATGAGTTCACCCTAGTTGTTGATAAATCATGGAGCTGCTTGTATGAGTAATTGACTTTCGGGGGGAATATAAAAACACAGATGAAGTTGCAAATCCATGTCCCTATCTTTTATATGTCACAACAAAAAATTTACGAGTACTACAAAGCTGAAATCCAACTGTTGACCAGATTATTATATGCTAATTAGTGTGTTATGCAATAGGTTTCATTTTTTTTTTGGTAAGTATTATTGACCAACTTATTCATACAAGAAATAAATTCTGTAATGAGCTGAAATTCAGAAATCTTAAATTTAAATTTTGACAATTTTTTAGTATCAGATTATGAGGAATTTATCTCTTATGAATACTCTAATCTCAGTGTAGATGACTTATCTTTGATCAGACCAACTATAAATAGATCTGAGAGCATCCACAGAGGATCAAAAGAATTTGCAAAGAGAGATAGATGATAAAGTATTGAGCACAGCCAAAGAGGGCTATGAGAAAAGATATTGCCTTTTGCGATACCTAACCTCGTGATCATCTCGATCTACTTGGGAGAATCACAAATGAACTAAAATACAAGTGATTACGCTCTGAATCTAATATATTTTTCGTTATATAAAGAAAATTCAACTAAACATTTCTCTAACCACTAGAAGTGTACTATCAATTCACCGAATCTATCCTAAATTTTCTTTTCATACAGAGCTATACAATCTCCCTAATTCACAAAAGCGGACATTTTCCATATATAAAACTCAAGAAAACTAAAATAGTGCTTCATGTATAAATGAAACAAATAAATAAGTTTGAAGTGTTTAGTTAGGCCATGGCTATTGGCTTACGTGGTAATGTATGGTAAACTATGTTTAACAGTACATATTATGTATTTTACAATTAGACTTTAGACCGACTTTTGTAGACTAAATTAGACTTTACACCGACTTTTGTAAACAAGGTTACGTTAGGTCACGACCTTGGCTGAGTGGCGCAAAATTATTTATTTTATAACTTCCAGGCAAGAATATACCCTTTTGCATTGTCTGTTCTAAAGGAAAATTATACTAACACCCCTTTTGGTTTGTCATTGAATCATCTACACCTCTTGATATTTAAAATATTATATACAAATCACCTTAAATTACATACAAACCCTTGAAATTTAAAACGTATAATATTTAGACCCTTTAAATTTAAAATATTATACTCCAATTAAAAATAGAATGTCAAATATTTTTAAATTTTTTAACCAATATTTGTGTTCAGTTGGTGAAGCTCTGGGCATGATAAAAAAAGTAAAGCATGGAGGTAACAGAGTAATAAATCAAGGAGTTTTAAATATTATCAAGAAAAGTGACTGAATTAGTTGAATCACACAAGTCTACACAACATCCATCCTACCTCTTGTGGATGAGGAAGTTAATGTTGAAGCACATTTTAAAATCAATTATGGGTGTCCGAGTTGTATGTTTATCTCCGTAAGACATTGCTATAAACGAGAGACACGTACGTTGATCTTAACTTTATAAAAATTTATGTTAATAATTTTTTTTTTTTAAGAATAATACCTTAAGTAAGCATAATTTGAACCATGCAACGTGGCAAACGAACCACAAAAGGTTGAACAGAAAAATGATATGATCTGTAACCATGCTCATCTTGCTGCTTAACTGTCCTCAATAATGCACTTGGGGACACCAATAATTGTGAAGTACTACAAGTACCAGAAATGATTAAATTCAATTTCTTCACCTGTGTTCTTGATCAGACAGCCAATAGTAGTAGTTACCTCTGGAATTGTACCTTAATACTCCAACCACCAGAATTAAATCGAAAGATGATCGCATATGCCAAGTTTGCATTCAACAAAGCAGGTGGAATTACAGATCAATGCTTAGTAATACTGATACATAAATGAAGGGTAATTCGTGTCTGAACGTATGATGTAATGTAAATAATTTTGAAAAAAATATTAATAAATGTTAAATGAGTTTATTTAACATCGTTGAATGAGTTCATTGAAGTTTACACTATTTTATATTATACATATCTATAACATGTATCTTGCGTACCTAAAAGAGATACATTTTACATACCATGGGGTTGTAAGTTGTAACTGAAAAAAACATCATTTTGATCTATAAGTTCCTCATCATGTGATGCTCGGGTTATTACTCACATGCANCTCCCTAATTCACAAAAGCGGACATTTTCCATATATAAAACTCAAGAAAACTAAAATAGTGCTTCATGTATAAATGAAACAAATAAATAAGTTTGAAGTGTTTAGTTAGGCCATGGCTATTGGCTTACGTGGTAATGTATGGTAAACTATGTTTAACAGTACATATTATGTATTTTACAATTAGACTTTAGACCGACTTTTGTAGACTAAATTAGACTTTACACCGACTTTTGTAAACAAGGTTACGTTAGGTCACGACCTTGGCTGAGTGGCGCAAAATTATTTATTTTATAACTTCCAGGCAAGAATATACCCTTTTGCATTGTCTGTTCTAAAGGAAAATTATACTAACACCCCTTTTGGTTTGTCATTGAATCATCTACACCTCTTGATATTTAAAATATTATATACAAATCACCTTAAATTACATACAAACCCTTGAAATTTAAAACGTATAATATTTAGACCCTTTAAATTTAAAATATTATACTCCAATTAAAAATAGAATGTCAAATATTTTTAAATTTTTTAACCAATATTTGTGTTCAGTTGGTGAAGCTCTGGGCATGATAAAAAAAGTAAAGCATGGAGGTAACAGAGTAATAAATCAAGGAGTTTTAAATATTATCAAGAAAAGTGACTGAATTAGTTGAATCACACAAGTCTACACAACATCCATCCTACCTCTTGTGGATGAGGAAGTTAATGTTGAAGCACATTTTAAAATCAATTATGGGTGTCCGAGTTGTATGTTTATCTCCGTGAGACATTGCTATAAACGAGAGACACGTACGTTGAGCTTAACTTTATAAAAATTTATGTTAATAATTTTTTTTTTTTTTAAGAATAATACCTTAAGTAAGCATAATTTGAACCATGCAACGTGGCAAACGAACCACAAAAGGTTGAACAGAAAAATGAAATGATCTGTAACCATGCTCATCTTGCTGCTTAACTGTCCTCAATAATGCACTTGGGGACACCAATAATTGTGAAGTACTACAAGTACCAGAAATGATTAAATTCAATTTCTTCACCTGTGTTCTTGATCAGACAGCCAATAGTAGTAGTTACCTCTGGAATTGTACCTTAATACTCCAACCACCAGAATTAAATCCAAAGATGATCGCATATGCCAAGTTTGCATTCAACAAAGCAGGTGGAATTACAGATCAATGCTTAGTAATATTGATACATAAATGAAGGATNCAAAGATGATCGCATATGCCATGTTTGCATTCAACAAAGCAGGTGGAATTACAGATCAATGCTTAGTAATATTGATACATAAATGAAGGATAATTCGTGTCTGAACGTATGATGTAATGTAAATAATTTTGAAAAAAATATTAATAAATGTTAAATGAGTTTATTTAACATCGTCGAATGAGTTCATTGAAGTTTACACTATTTTATATTATACATATCTATAACATGTATCTTGCGTACCTAAAAGAGATACATTTTACATACCATGGGGTTGTAAGTTGTAACTGAAAAAAACATCATTTTGATCTATAAGTTCCTCATCTTGTGATGCTCGGGTTATTACTCACATGCAAATAGGGAGTTTCTGTCAAGTTTTTGGCAATTGAAACTTGCGAAAAAAGTAGAAGGATGAATTTTAAAAAAGAAAAAAAAATTTAAGANTTGTGATGCTCGGGTTATTACTCACATGCAAATAGGGAGTTTCTGTCAAGTTTTTGGCAATTGAAACTTGCGAAAAAAGTAGAAGGATGAATTTTAAAAAAGAAAAAAAAATTTAAGAACCAAAATCCNAGTAGTAGTTACCTCTGGAATTGTACCTTAATACTCCAACCACCAGAATTAAATCGAAAGATGATCGCATATGCCAAGTTTGCATTCAACAAAGCAGGTGGAATTACAGATCAATGCTTAGTAATACTGATACATAAATGAAGGGTNATACTCCAACCACCAGAATTAAATCGAAAGATGATCGCATATGCCAAGTTTGCATTCAACAAAGCAGGTGGAATTACAGATCAATGCTTAGTAATACTGATACATAAATGAAGGGTAATTCGTGTCTGAACGTATGATGTAATGTAAATAATTTTGAAAAAAATATTAATAAATGTTAAATGAGTTTATTTAACATCGTTGAATGAGTTCATTGAAGTTTACACTATTTTATATTATACATATCTATAACATGTATCTTGCGTACCTAAAAGAGATACATTTTACATACCATGGGGTTGTAAGTTGTAACTGAAAAAAACATCATTTTGATCTATAAGTTCCTCATCATGTGATGCTCGGGTTATTACTCACATGCAAATAGGGAGTTTCTGTCAAGTTTTTGGCAATTGAAACTTGCAAAAAAAGTAGAAGGATGAATTTTAAAAAAGAAAAAAAAATTTAAGAACCAAAATCCGAATCAGTTCATAATGAGAGGATGAAAAGTGTAATTAATCCAATACAAAACAACAAGAGTTGACGACGTATTAATTAAGGGTTTGATCCATCTGATCCGTGTATTACTTTAATCCATCTGATCCCTTGCATGTCGTGTGTGAAAAAGTCAAAGGTGGGGCTACAGAAATAATTGGCGGAAGTCAACATGATTAGCGGTTGTGGTCGGTGGAGATTTGAATGACAAAAGTAAAACAATAAGCATACATTATCAAATGATGAGATTTTTTTTGCTACATTTGAATCAATATATAATTAAAGTTGGAAATTAATAAATATACCAAGGATAAAAAAGTTAAATATTTAAATTTAAATAAATTATCGTAATTAAAAGATATTAACCGTCGAATCAAAATGATCTAGATCATCGTTGTGCTTTTCGAACCGAGTAGCTTAAATAGCTGAAGTAGAAGACTTTGTTTTATTAATATAGATAATAATTCTATGCATAGAAATGATGTACAATTTATTCATTTAGTTGTTTTTTATTAGGTAGTAATATCATGTATTGATGATGATATTGTGTCACTATTATATTGAATATTTAATCTAAAGAATGAAGGTAAGATTTTAAGTTTTACATTGCGGGTTTTATAGGTATCAAGAGTTTGAATTATAACCATTATCCCGAAAATAATGAGCCTTTCAGACCATTATTCATCTTTAACGAGAGTTGTCATGTCCTTCTAATTTTTTTTTATTTTGTAGATANCTTTCAGACCATTATTCATCTTTAACGAGAGTTGTCATGTCCTTCTAATTTTTTTTTATTTTGTAGATAATCGAAAATTGTCTCAACTATGTAATTATTGAACTCATGGTTGTAACATAAAATTAAAATTTATATATTCAATTCAAACCATGAATATTGAATCAAGGACTTTAGAGAATCTTTAACAAAAAAATCTCAAATTACTGGTCACTAAGTCCTGCCAAATGGTCATTACCCCTCTCATGCCAATGGGAAGAGTCAAATAACATAAAATTATTAACATCAAATCAATCACAAACTCTTTTGAGAACCTTTGATTAAAAATTCTGGAATTATTGGATATTAAGTCCTATTAATTGGTCATTTCAAACAAAATAAAACTAAGAGGATCGAAATTAATCTAAAAGTCTTTCAAAAATCTTTACCTAAAAAAAGTATAAATTACTAAGTGATTTGTCAAACGATAATTTTTACTTTGATCGTGATGGGAAGACTTGAGCTAAAAATAATGGATGACATATTGTCACACATTAGGGGAACCTGTCATAATTTTTAATACGGATACGTGGCTACAACCCAGGTAGCTTATAAAATAAAATAAACAACGCATAATGAAATGCAGCACCTGAAGTAGTAACTTTCTGTTGTGGGTAGGTAGTATCTAAAAGAACATTGACCTTTTGTTACTTAATTAATAAATATTAATTATGTCACCGTCCTGTACCTCACATTAAGGGCCTCTTTGCATTGAAAATTAAGATAGGAAACATTAATTAGATAAAATTATGAAGGGTTGCAATCCAAAATGGATGGAAGAAACTTACTATAAATAGGGTTATTAGGCAACCTCTTCACCACCACAACATTGCAGCATTACTAAAGCAGAGAACAAATCTCTCTCTCTCACTCTCCCACACACACACTCTCTCTCTTATTTTCTTGCTTTTTGGCTCCAATGGCGATCCCGGTTATTGATTTCTCTAAGCTCAATGGAGAACAGAGGGCTAAGACTTTAGCTCAGATTGCAAATGGGTGTGAAGAATGGGGATTCTTTCAGGTACTTATCATTCTAATGCATTTTATCATTTTTTTTTATGGAAATCAGTCCAAACACATATACTTTGAATTTATGACTGGAATGCTAGATGCACCTAATCAGTCACAAAACGCACTTGCATCATAAATCCGTTTTTTTAAGCCCAGCTCATGATATGCAGGTTTACGTAAAAGAGTGTAAAAAATTGTCTGTCATCATTTTATGCAACCCTTGACATTGTACAGATAGATCTGACACATTTCCTTTATTTGATTGTCACAGCTGGTGAACCATGGGATTTCCGAGGAACTCCTGCAGAGGGTTAAGAAGGTCTGCTCTGACTGCTATAAGATGGAGAGAGAAGAAGGATTCAAGAACTCGACACCGGTCAAGTCGTTGAATGAACTAGTTGAAAATAAGAGCGGCGACAAGCTGGAGAATGTGGACTGGGAGGACGTGTTCCTTCTCTCAGATGGTAATGTGTGGCCATCAAAGACCCCAGGATTCAAGTAAGCATCCATTAGTTTTAGTTCTAATCAATTCCATCTCTGCAATGTGAACTTTAGCAATTAAGCTCTTATAATCTCCCAGTTTCAAATGAATTCCCAAAAAAATTGTATTATGTCACAAGCCCGCCATGTGGCAGGTAGGTCTATTTCTCAAACAAATTCAATTCCCAGTGTTTTGAGAACATATTACTAGTTTACTACTCTGGACTCGTATAGTTTTTAAAAAACAACCTAATGTACGAAACCCTGCTACTCGATCGAGAATATTTGAGATTTCGAATCTACCTTACTAAGATCATTAAGTAACTTTACTATTATACCAAGACCTACCCTTATCATTCTCAAATTTTTCTCACTTGTCTATTCTAGCAAAATTTATACTCAATAGGAAACTTGCATTTTAATATGGATTACCAAACTACCTTTCAATACCAGATTGTATAGAATGTGAACTAGTAGAAATCTTTGACACATGAAATCTGACTTGTGAATTCGACGAATAATAGGGAAACCATGACAGAATACCGGACTGAGTTGAAGAAACTGGGAGAAAAGGTCATGGAAGCGATGGACGAAAACTTGGGCTTGCCATTAGGATACATCAAAAAAGCCTTCAATGGTGAAGGAGACGATGCCTTTTTCGGCACCAAGGTGAGCCACTACCCGCCCTGCCCACATCCCGAGAGGCTAAATGGTCTTCGAGCTCATACTGATGCCGGAGGTGTCATCTTACTCTTTCAAGATGACGAGGTGAGTGGCCTTCAAATCCTTAAAGATGGGCAGTGGATCGAAGTCCAACCTTTAAGCAACGCCATTGTCATAAACATTGGGGATCAGATTGAGGTGTTGAGCAATGGGCGATACAAGAGCGTTTGGCACCGAGTTCTGGCTACCCGAGACGGGAACAGGAGATCAATTGCTTCATTCTACAATCCATCAATGAATGCCACCATAGCTCCAGCACCAGAATTTTTGGAAACGGTGAAGAAAGAGGTGGATCAGACTTATCCCAAGTTTGTGTTTGGGGACTACATGTCTGTTTATGCTGAACAGAAGTTCCTACCCAAAGAACCAAGGTTCCAANTGGATCAGACTTATCCCAAGTTTGTGTTTGGGGACTACATGTCTGTTTATGCTGAACAGAAGTTCCTACCCAAAGAACCAAGGTTCCAAGCTGCTGTGAGGGCCATGTAAAGAATAGATAAATGGAAGAAAATTCAAAATTTTCTTATTTTTTTTGGTTGGGTATGGGCCATGGGGTTATAGATAAAGCTTTGTCATTACAAATGTTCTAGTTGCAGCTGCAATCTCCAGCTGCATATATATGCAGAAAAAGAGTAGAAAGCTTATATTGGTGCTAGTGTGTGCTTGCTTTTGATTGTGGATAATATGAAATTGTTCATCTCATGGTGCAAAGTGACTATTCAAGCGAAGTATATAGAAAGAAACATTATTTTTGTATGGTATAGCTAGGTAGGATGTGGTGGGTGAGCTTTTGCAGCAGTAAAATCGTAGCATTATCACATGAAAGTCACGGGTTCGGTCTAAAGAGATAGTGCANTATTTTTGTATGGTATAGCTAGGTAGGATGTGGTGGGTGAGCTTTTGCAGCAGTAAAATCGTAGCATTATCACATGAAAGTCACGGGTTCGGTCTAAAGAGATAGTGCACGTGGGGTTAGGTTGATAGTAGTTGGAATTTTGTGTATTGAGTCATTTATATATTGGAACCTATTTTCTTATTTATCTTTTACTCAAATTTTGTAAGCNCACGTGGGGTTAGGTTGATAGTAGTTGGAATTTTGTGTATTGAGTCATTTATATATCGGAACCTATTTTCTCATTTATCTTTTACTCAATTTTTGTAAACAAATATATTACATTAATCTACTCACATACTAAAATACGAAATGATGAGTAGGTCCTTCATTAGTTTAGGCTCAAAATTGACCAAAAATGTATTTTGATCCAACAAAGTAAAGTTTAGCTATAAATATNAATACGAAATGATGAGTAGGTCCTTCATTAGTTTAGGCTCAAAATTGACCAAAAATCTATTTTGATCCAACAAAGTAAAGTTTAGCTATAAATATTTTTTTTTTTAATTATGACTTTTGATTATGAAAATAATAAAGTGAACCTACACCTGTCATTTTTGATTGGTGGAAAAAGAGGAGATTGGTTGCATGTTTATGACACTGAGGATTGTTAAACTGGCTTTTTTATTTTTGGGAAAAATAAAATATATTCATCTTTGCAAAATTACATGTACATGTAAGAGAAACTATCTGTTTATCAAAAAAAAAAAAATGGTCAAGCAACTGAACTACCATAAGTTCTGCCTTGTGACGAAACTTATGACAGTTCAAGGCATTTATGTTGGAACATTTAAGGACCAAGCATTAGACACAGAATTGTTCCAACGTTGGATAAAAGCAATAATTTGAGTGGATTGATTGTAGTTAATAATGAGAAGTTTACTTCTAATGACATGAAGGATGGACTTCAAAACAGTAGTTGCATCCCTGAATTCATTCTTGAAGACTCTGATATTTCTTTTTTTTCCAAATCGTACAGATAGAATTGGAAAGACTGAGGTTAAATGGGTTTTTTACCATATCTATTCCCCTCAAAAACTTATTTCCCAAAATCAGTTACTTTAAACTTATTTCTCAAACCCAATTTTTTTTTTTAGTCAGACTAGTCAACCAGGCTCTCTTCACATGCCAACAAGAAATATCAGGCCAAAGAGAGAAAACTTCATTTCAAAAGACATTTTTAAACTTGAGAAAAATTTTCAACTTTGGATATTTTCACTCACAAAATGTCATTTGTACTGATGACTTTAAAGATGTCATTTACATTGCTATTTTTAAACGGTTTTCTATCTGAGCTAAGACCTAGAAAACTTTGTTAACCTTGACAAACTTGAACAAACATTGAATTTACTAAGGCATAAAATGTCACTTGTAATGACGCCTTTAAAGTCTTCATTCTAAATGACAATTTATACGAGCGACTTTTTGAAATTGTAAAATTCCTAGGTCACAAATTATAAAAAATCTATCATCTCTTAGGGGTTGTTTGGTATATGGGTTTGGGAGGGGTTTGAATTGTGGGTTGGGGAATAAACCCCTTAAACCCATGTTTGGTAACCCATGTTTAGTCCAGGGTTTGAAAACCCAGCCCGTTGGATGACATGATCATGAAACCCATGAACTTGGGTTTCATGAAATCCATGGGGGTGGGTGGGTTTCTTAGGTGGATTATTCAAAAGACATTTATACCCTCATATATTCTCATATGGGTTTGAATTAAATTTGTTAAGGGACAAAATAATTATTTATATACAAATATATTATCATAATAGTCATATATTCCTGCGCATACTAAACATGGGTATGGACAATATTAAATATTGAATCCTATCTTTGAATCTCATATTTTGGTCAAATCTCGGTTTAAATAAGTCAATCCAAACTCCGCCTAAGAAACATACCAAATAGCCCTTAGATCACCCTCTTCATTCCTCTAACCACTCACCATCTTCTCTGATGACGAAGACCACTCTGGCAAAGCAGTTTAACTCTGACAACATAGCTTTTCTTTGGTGGTGCTCTCTCCAGAAGTTACAATTTTTAAGTCTCCCAACTGTAGATCACCGCAGGGCTTCCCAAATCCCATAAGCCTTAGCTTTTTCAACTCTCTCTCTTTGTCTTTAAGTGTAAACTAACACCGTGGGGTTATTATTTAAAATGGCTATTGAAAGATTTCATTTACAATGATGTTTTTAAAATCGGCTTTCCAAATGACGTTTTATGCGTAAATATATCCATATATCCAGACTTGAACAATTTTCCCAAGTTTAAAAATATTATTTAAAATGATGTTTTTAACCATGAAGGTGAAATTTGAAATAACGTTTTTACAAAGAGATTAAGTTTAAAAAATAAGTTTAAAAGTGATTAATTTTACGAAATAACTTTTTTGAGAGGAATGAGTATGGTAAAAAGCTCATTGTTAAACNAAAAATAAGTTTAAAAGTGATTAATTTTACGAAATAACTTTTTTGAGAGGAATGAGTATGGTAAAAAGCTCATTGTTAAACCATCCGCAAAATCAGACAATGGTTCAACAAGTTTTGGATGGCAAAATTCTTCAAAAATTGGCTATTATATGCCTAGCAAGAAAGAAACCAACTTAGTTTATTTTTCATAAAACAAAACGAAGGACTGGGTATTACAGATATACTATAGGCTTTAAACTATATGAAAAAGAAAATTCTCCATCTTATTGAAGCAATACATGGCCGATTATTCTATAGAAGAGCACCCAGTTGGAGTTCCTTAGACATTAATAAAAAAAGGGCCACTCGACCCATGTGGCTTAGCTGCTATATTAAATATAAAAAAAGAGATAGATGATAATAATATACAAATTAAGTAAACTTTATCGAGAACGTTTAACCACACACTATTGCATTCAAAGATAGAAGCAAAATCATAATCAAAAGGAAGCACACTAACACCAACACAAGCTTTCTTCCCTATTCGGCTTTTGCAGCGGGAGATTGCCAAGCAATTAAGTATAACATTTGCAATGGCAAAGCTTTATCTACAGCCTCAAACCCCAACAAAAGGAAAAAAAAAAAAAACGTTGAACTTCTCCATAACAAATTCCATTGTTATGTTCTTTACATGGCCCTCACAGCAGCTTGGAACCTTGGTTCTTTAGGTAGGAACTTCTGCTCAGCATAAACAGACATGTAGTCCCCAAACACAAACTTGGGATAATTCTGATCCACCTCTTGGTTCACTTTTTCCATCAATTCTGGTGCAGGAGCCATAGTGGCCTTCATTGATGGATTATAGAATGAAGCAATTGATCTCCTATTCCCATCCAAGGTTGCCAAAACCCTGTGCCAAACGCTCTTGTATCACCCGTTGCTCAACACCTCAATTTGATCCCCAATGTTGATGACAATGGCGTTGCTTAGAGGTTGGACATCGATCCATTGCCCGCCTTTGAGGATTTGAAGGCCACTCACCTCATCATCTTGGAAGAGTAAGATGACACCTCCAGCATCAGTGTGAGCTCGAAGACCATTTAGCCTCTCGGGATGTGGGCAGGGCGGGTAGTGGCTCACCTTAGTGCCGAAAAAGGCATCAGCTTCTTCAACATTGAAAGCTTTCTTGATGTATCCTATTGGCAAGCCCAAGTTTTCATCCATGGCTTAAATGACCTTCTTTCCCAGCTTCTTCAACTCAGCTCGGTATTCTGCCATACTTTCCCTATTATTCAATCAATTTACAAGTCAGATGATACATTAATCTAGGTTTTAATGCTATATTTTTCTTGAGCCACTACAAGAAAAAGGTTCTTTTACATCGACAATTTGCCGACTCAAAAAATCACATTGCCGTCGCAAATACCGGGGTGACAAACAATAGGCGATGCAAAAGGTTTTGCATCGTCAATTAACCGTCACAAAAGCTTTTGCATCAGCAAAATCCGATGCAAATGTGTTGTCGCAAAAAAATCTTAGATCTAACATTTTTTGCTTGCGTCAGCAATTTTCCGTCGCAAAAAAACCCATTTGCGATGGTTTAAATTCGTCGCAAAAAGTATTATTAGTCACAGGAGACCGTCGCAAAAAACCCCATTTGCAACGGTTAGAATCTGTCACAAAAGATACTATTAACTACAGTAGGTAACCGTTGCAGTAAACCCATTTACAACAGTTTAATCCGTCGCAAAAGATATTATTAGCTACAATATGGGACAGTCTCAACAAACCCGTTTACAATGGTTTTTAACCGTTGCAAAAGATATTATTTGTTACGGCAGAAGGTCGACGCCAAAAAAAAAATGATATTACTCTTTTGACGCTACTTGCGTCAGCAACTTGCTTTCATAAATAATTTTTTTTTAAAAACCTAATTCTCTCTTTCACATTTTGCTCTACACCTGTTTACATATTTAATACATTACCNACCTAATTCTCTCTTTCATATTTTGCTCTACACCTGTTTACATATTTAATACATTACCCATAACATCATTTGATTAAAATAATAAGACATATCTCTCAAAACAAAAACATCTAAATTTAAAATTAAAAATATGTTCAACATAAGTAAATAGCATCCGAAATTTTAAAAACAAAATATTCCAAACTATGTAATGAAAATGCCA